TTAGGGAAAAAACCAGAAATTTTCCGGGAAATTTCGGAAAACTGGTAGGAGGTTAGGGAAAATCTGAGAAATTTTCCTGTTTCACATTGGGTATATCCCACCCCCTCTCCGCTCGACGGAAAATTCTTGGCTGAAAAACTGGAAATTTTTCGGGAAAAAAAAAAAGTGGTAGGAAGTTGGGAAAATCTAGGAAAGTGGTAGGTAGCATGGGGGGGGTCGTATTTGAGGATGGAATTAAAGGGGGTCATTTTTTCAGGAAATGATCACAACGCGATGGCGTGCCCTGAAGGGCACACAAATGAGGAAGGCATAATGGTTGTGATCCCCGCCTACTTATTCGCCCATTTGATTACCGCGGAATGTCTACAAGCTCAAATATTGAATCTATAGGAGAAAATTACAATTACCGCCAGTTGTTGTAATCGAGCCGTATTACAGAGGTCCTTGTTGAACGATGCCCATTCTCGATTCACATGGGCGTACACCAACACGTGCATCGTTAAAGCCAATGAAGACGAGAATGCGATAAGCATGTACACAAATGGATCCAGCCCGTACATCGTGGACAGAGTTAGAGGGTAGCTGAAAAATGTTTTTTTTTCAATCGATTTCACGTCACAACACTTTTCTTTACACAAATCTACTTCTAACTTGGGGGTTTTAGAGACTTGGTCTAGGGATCTGCAGTCGCTTTCGCTGCAGAGGCTGAGGCGTGTCAGGGGGTGGGTTTGGCGCGGCGCCTACGAGCACGTTGTTGAAGCTGGCATCGCGGCGAACCCAACTCCCACTGAAATGCCCAGCGTCTGCAGCGATGAAGACTATACAGTATTCCGCCTCTTTACAGCTGGATCATAGAAATAGCTCAAGATTCCCTCGAGAGAAGGTTGTGATGGGGGCGGGGGAGGAGGGGGCGGGGGGAGGAGGGGAGGGTGAGGGGCAACGCGCTATGTGAGCTTGTTCGTCTCGTTCGTGCCCTTAGAAACGGGTATATATCGCATTTTTCCTGAGCGCTGGAGAGCAGTACCGCACTCTGTTGTGTAAAACACAAGGGGGAGGTCGCTAATTGCCCGCTGGGGAAGGGGGAGGGTCGTAGTTGGTTGTTGTTGGGAGGATGGGAGCTCGTATGTGCTTTGAGAGAAACTTGCCTCGTTGGGAAAAAAATTTTCCGGGTTTTTCCTGTCACATTGGCCTATATACCTTTTTCGCTGCTCCACATTGGCTATTACCCTCTGTGAAGTTAACAACCTATCTGGAATTCAAGGAAAAAGGGTAGAAAGTGTGGGAAAAATTCAAGAAATTAAGAAATCCTTCGCGTCTTTTGGCTTTCCCCGTTTTACATGTGCTATTTACTCCCCTCCCCGCTCACCCCCTCCTCCCCCCCCGCTTGATGGGAAATTTTTGGATGATAAAGTGGAAATGTGGGAAATTTCGGAAAAAATGAAAGGGAGCTGGGAACTCGTAGGAAAGTGGTAGGGTAGTGCTGGGGAAGAGGGGGGGGGGTCGTGCCGAGACTCTCTTTAAGGTGGGGATCGCAACTAGACCCTTTCTTGAGTGAGGGGGTCGCACTACCATCTCACACTTCACGATGCAGTACCCTAGCTGAGAGTGCGCAGACAAGCAGGCATGACGTGGCGTAATCGCCCGACTCCTCTTCCTGACCATAGTCCTGTAGACGCTGGGGCGTGTTAGGAGACCACGGTTGGTTTGACGCTTCCTGGTTTACACAAACTGTTGACGCCTATCCGCTTCAAGAGTTGGTGGAGAGCGGGTTGGCGCCGCGGCGGACCCAGCCCCCATGAGACGCCGAAGCGCCTGCAGTGAAAACAGCTGTACCTTCGTCTAAATTCTTTCCCCTTCAATCAGAAAAAAAATTTCGAAATTAAATAAAGTAATCTGACAATAATAAGCACACAATAGTTCACCCTGCTTCGAATGGCAACGATGAATTCGCCTGTGATCCTTCATAAAGTATGCCTTTCATCAATGACATCATCCAGGTAAGCATGAAAATTATCACGCCAATAACAATTTTTCTATAAGTGGCTATCAAACTTGTTTTTCCGTAAAGTGGGCCCTGAAATTCTTCGAATATATCTCTTTGTCAAAGGAAAACTGATAAAGACGATCAGTCAAAACGTATTCCGCGTTAACAGCATGGGAGGAGAGAACTAACCCATCTCAAGAGGTAGAAACAAGAAATAAAGAATGAATAAGACATCCTCATGGGTGTCCTCCCCTTCTACGTACACTCGTTTATCGCGGACCGTCTTTGAATTAACTTAATAAATCTCACCCTACAATTCTGGACTTTGGCTAGAGTATCCTGTAATTCTGGCAGAAACCGAGATCTTGTCCACGATGCCACACATAGACCTGAGATGAACCCGTGAATCGACATGAAAGCCCAAACGCAGCTGATTGCCCATTCTAGGGTCATCGGCTGAAATTCTTGGAATTCTGGAATTTTATTAAAAAATGGGGTCTACTTCAAAAACTCAAAAAATGGGGTCCACTTCAAAAACTCTAAGTGTTACTTCAAACGATACTAACCTTCGGATTTTCCAACATATGAATGAGCGATTTGAGAAACATTGCCAAACATATGAGAAAACAGACGGTGATCATACCAATGGTCTTCACCCAACCGCTTCTCGCAACGTATGCTCGACTCAGGTCAAGACCGCTCCACCGAAGGACGACCTAAAAAAATTTCGCATTCATTTCTTTGTGCGAATGGAAGGGACGTGTGCAATTTCCATCCAGCTGCAGAATCATCCCATGGTTCGCCTATGCGAATGGTTTGGATTATCTGGTAAAGCTGTCACCACGCATGCTTGAACTTTGCCGGCTATTCTCATCCATTTCCTTCAAAGAACGATCCAGGATGACCTATGAAATGCATAAGATTGTGGGGGGAGTGTAGTGTGGTCCGCGGGAGACGGGCAAGAGAATCGTAGTTTGCCGCTCCGCCGCTCGCAGTGATGGGTGCGGCGTTTCCTTAACTCGTGTTAACCTGTCGATTGGAGCACCGGACTTCATGAAGAGACCCCGTCATCGTAGACATTCATGACAATTTTCGGTTCTGAATTGCCTGTTGTCGCCATCTACTACCTGGAACCATTTGCGGGCGCGACGTCGCACGCGACGCTCACCAGCGCAGCGAATTACGATTCTCTTGTCACGTACCCGTGGTCCACAGTGGACAACATCGAGCCAGTTTCGCGGTGTGAAGTTGTAAAGTGAAGGAGTTAAGGCGCAAAGTTGCTACAGTGGCACCCCACATTTTCCAGTAAC